GTGTGAGAGAGAGTGTGTGTGTGTGAGAGAGAGAGAGAGAGTGTGTGTGTGTGTGTGTGTGTGTGTGTGTTTATTGCTTATTTTCCACACGTGTAAACAAGCTGCACATTTATATTGCTAACATATTAGGCACCTAGTACAATTACAGTATAGTTTTGTTTTGAAAAATGTGAAGTATTTAGTGTATCTGCGTACTTTAGTTTTTACACATTCATGCTATAGTTAATAGACAATAGTTAAAGCTCTCTCGAATCTTGCATGTTATCAGTATAATAAGGTAATAATGTCATTTATCTGTCATATATGTGAAGGGGGTGTTTATAAAGGTCAAAATGAGTCGGCGACCCAGCAGCAGATATTCTGAGATGCCCATGCGTGTGACAGACCAAAGGACGAGTCTGCTCAACGCCACCCCTCAAAAGTACATCCCATCTATCTTTTCTATTATATGACTTGAGAATATGTTGAGTACACATTGATGTGGTTTTGTTGTCCTAAAATGCTTTCAGCAGGATACATGAGTTACAACATATTGACTTTTGATTTCATTACAGTAAGGATAATGTCTTTGGCAAGCTGAACATACCTAAACCTCAGTCTACCACATCTGAGAGACGAACAAGCTTTTTTGGAAAGTGAGTCTGACAGTGAAAGTTAAACAAATGTTGCATGATCATGATTTTGTGATTTGTCATTGTGCATTATAATCGTTGATAATGGTGCCATACAGTGTTTTCTTAAATCTTAAAGGGGTCATATGATGCTTTTTTAAAGATCATTATTTTGTGTATTTGGTGTAACGGAATATGTTGACATGCTTTAATGTTCAAAAAACACATTATTTTTCAAATACTGTACATTATTGTAGTTTCTCTATCCCCCGCCTCTCTCAAATGCTTCGTTTTCTACAAAGTCCCTCCTTCCGACAAGCACAGTCTGCTCTGATTGGCCAGCTGACCCAGTGCATTGTGATTGGCCGAACACCACAAGCACTCGTCAGAAATGTAACTCCCCTTACCATAATCGCCAGCTTCATCTTTCAAAGTAAATGTAAAGACAGTAAATAATGTAATTAGTTTTACCACCAGTTCAAGCCCGAAAGGGGAACAGACACAGTAATGATGCAGTACACAAGCCGCGGTTAAGACAGCTGAC